CCCATCTTTCCCGCTAAAAGCCTAAAACCACACTTCCCCTTCTCCATTTGTATTTTATCTTCTTTGTTACGCACTCCTCCTCTTATCCTCTTTACTAATCGGAAGTCAGAGCCCTCGAATTTTCTCAGCGATTGGAATCCAAAGACGCTCAGTTTGTCGATAACTTCTTGGACAATGCCGACTATCGCTAGCCACAACTCGTCTCCGTTCAAGGAGATCGTGACCGTCAGATCGGAAAGAAGCGGGGGGACCGGTGGATCTGAAGTCAATTGCACCTCTGGTAAACGGAGATTAACATTTGATGCGGCGGCGGTGCAGGAGGGTCCTATCTCTACTCCGACGAAGCTGAAATCACTTCGCAGATGCAGGAATTCGAGTCCAAACAGCCCTGCAGATGTCAGTCGTTCTTTCTACATATCAATATTTGATGCTTTGATTTTATTCATCTAGATGCTTTACAAAATTGATCTAATTAAACAGATTTTTTAGTTTTTTTTTTTCTCTCTGTAAATGTAAGCTGGTTTTTATTATTCGTATTGGTGCATTTGGATCTTTTGAGGGCTCAACCTACACATCGCGGATATTAACTTATAGTTATCTGCAGGGTAGCAAGGAAGATTGTGTTAGTAAAAGATTAGCAGGATTGTGCAAATCACCGGTGAAGAGATCGCACAACAGTTTTGACCTTAAGCAGAATTGGAATCCAAGTGGTAGGCTAATTTCAGTTTTCATAATCTTGTTCATTGTCTTAATTGTAGTGTATGGATGGTTAATTGATGCTAGTAGTGTATCGATTGTTTTTGTTTACATGCAGATCCTGAGCAAATGAGTGCTGTGAAGGAGGCACTTCATGTGTCTACAGCACCTCCTACTGTCGTGTGCCGTGAAAATGAGCAGAAAAGGATTTTAGAGTTTTGCAAGGGATGTTTGGAACAAGAGAAGGCTGGGAGTTTATACATATGTGGATGTCCGGGGACTGGAAAGTCGTTGTCAATGGAAAAAGTGAAGCAGTATGTGGTTGATTGGGCAAGAGATGTATGTCCCTTTTCTGATTTCTCCATTTTGTTTCTTTGAATTGTGATACAGCATTGCCTGGTTTCTTAGTTGAGTAACATTTTACAAATGATGACATTGTTTGATATTTGTATGTTTGTTTTGATTTCATTACATATTCATTGAAACTAATGCTCATGCGATTCTTGTTTCCTCTAGCAGGAAGGATTACAGCCACCTGATTTATTAGTGATAAATTGCACTTCTCTAACAAACACATCGGAGATTTTTGGCAAGGTATTGTTGTTAGGGATGATTTACCAAAATAAGAATATTGACACGTAGTAGATTCTTACCTGATGATTTGCTTCACAGATAGCAGATAAGCACCAACAAAAGAAGAAAACTTCACCTTTGCAATATCTTCAGGAAATTTATTCACAAAAGCAGCAATCATCTGGCTCAAAGATGATGTAAGGACCTCATCTAGTTATGCTGAACTAAATGCTGTTCATTTTCACACTTAAGAGTTAAAGATCAATAATGTTGCTATAACGATTTTTTCCCAAGTTGAAGGAAGAAAAAGTCTCATTTGAAATATGGTCTCTTCTGCTTGCTAATTGGCCATTTTTTTGGCAGGGTAATAATTGCAGATGAGTTGGATTATTTGATCACAAGGGATCGGACTGTCCTTCATGATCTTTTCATGCTTACAACTTTTCCTTTCTCTCGATGTATATTGATAGGTAAAATTTCTATAGTTAATAATCCTTTAAGAATACCTGATGCTCATCTCAGCAATTTATTTCCTTTTCATTTTTTTGATCTTGAATGATGCAACATATGCACCAACAGGTTTTCATATGTTTTTCTTCCTTTTTTGCAGGAATAGCAAATTCCATAGACCTAGCTGATCGCTTTCTTCCCAGACTTCAGTCATTGAATTGTGAGCACGTTACTCATTAAACTGATCTGCCTTCTATGCTGCCCCTTAAATTACTTTTTACTCGATCTACTTTCATAATGAATCTTTTTACTTTGATTATCATTCAGAAAATACCCAGCAAAAATCAGTTTAATTTATAATTCACCATTTAACCCGAAACTGTTGTTTATCATTTATTATTAATGTAATATTTAACTTCTTTAAATACATGTGTTGTTTCCTTTCTTGCAAACATGTAATTTTCTGTCCATTAAGTTATTGGCCGCTACTTATAGATGTTGCTGACCATAAGCTCTGCCTCCCTTTATTTGGTTGCTAGAAAAAGAAATGCATTAGTAAGAGTTTGGAAGTTAGAAATGATATAATGTTTGTGTGATTACTCTATGATTTCCAGGCAAACCCTTGGTTGTAACCTTCCGTGCCTACTCCAAAGATCAGATCCTCAGAATACTTCAGGAGAGACTTATGGTAATAGCTACATCATCCTATTGCTTTTCAATTGCTTTGCTTTATCTATTGTGGAATGATGGGTGGTTCAGGAAAGAATATATAAGAAAAAGAGGCATGAATTTCTAATTTTCTAGGTCAAAATATCAACATGGAAATGTTCATGCTTCACAGTTTGATATTCTAGCGTAGCACTATCAATCTAACAATTGTTATTCTGTTTAATCAGGCACTACCTTATATTGTGTTCCAACCTCAAGCATTGGAACTTTGTGCCAGAGTGAGTCATCATTGTTAACTTTGATGTTTTCAATTGAATTGTCTTTGTCTGCTTTCTTTGAGGTATTGTCTTCAGATACTGACCATTTGAGATATAACAGAAAGTTGCAGCAGCATCTGGTGATATGCGGAAAGCACTTTCTGTTTGCAGGTCGGTGTAGTTTCATTGTATTCATTCCCTCGACTAAAAATTTCCACAAACACCTTTTTAGACGAGATCACAAGAGTAAACTCGATAACAGTGTCACTTAAAGTTTCCCATTTGTTCCAGGAGTGCAATGGAGATGTTAGAGGCAGAGTTGAGGGAATTGTCGAGCAGCCCAAATTCATCAACAGAAGCCACCCATCAGCAGACACCTCCAGGTCTTGAAGTCTTCAAAAGAGAACAAAATAACTCTGTATGTGCACATAATGCCTGTCTAGCTATTTAGCATGACATTAACTTAATCCCCACGCCACTGGATTCTGAATGTCCTCCCTCACAATTGTTCTGAAGTAATGAGTTTATTGAATTGCAGATAAAAAATTTTCATCAAGTATCTAATGTTTTAGGTTATATTTCAGGTCAGGATTGATCATATGGCTGCTGCATTGTCAAAGACATTTAGATCACCAGTAGTTGATACCGTACAATCTCTTCCGCAACATCAACAGGTAAGTTTTGTGTTAGTAGCATTTGAATTCCAATGCACTATAACTATCATTCCTTCAAACCAAAGTATTAATTTATATGAAGAATTTATTTCTACTACGACTCCATTCATGTAAGGTTTGACTGCAGATAATACTATGCTCTGCAGTGAAGTTTTTCCGCGGAAAAAAGAAGGATACAACTATAGAAGAGGTACATTTCTTTCTTCTATTTGATAATAAAATTTCAAGAGTATATACGTAGCATTCTAAGATTGATATTCAAGTTTGTTATGTGAATGCAGCTAAATAAATCTTATATTGAAGTCTGCAAGTCAGCACAGATACCACCCGTTGGAATCTTGGAATTTTTAAGCATGTGCAGAGTGCTAAACGACCAGGTTCAACAAAGTCAAATTTTCAGTCTTAAGTTGATTATTCGTTAAAAATGTAAAACTGCCAACTAAATGCCATTGACTTATGTGCAGGGGCTCTTCAAATTAGGTCTGTCTCGTGATGGTAAAATAAAAAGAGTATCACTAAAAATAGATGAATCAGACATAACATTCGCATTGCAAGTAAGAACCCTTCTCTTTGTGTTTGTGTAGCAGCATTTATAAGAATTAATGGTGTCTTATTGTGACCTATTTATATGGTACAGGGAGTTCGTTTCTTTCGAAATTGTCTCCAGTAATGCCTGTTAGAGTACACATACTACAAAGTGATGGTTGTGGTAGTCTTCCTCCCATCCTCTTTAGTCCGCCACCTCCATAACCTAGGCTTGATGTCAAGGCCTTTTTATTTTATTATTTTTTTTCAGATTTTACTGTTTTAATTTGAATTGTATTTAATTATAAAATATAAACTATTAAATAAAAGAAAGCATTCAAAATCAAACAAACAATTGTCTTTTATTTAACAATTTATGCTTTTAAAATTTAATACAAATTACACTGTAAAATATATATATTTTTTATTTTTAATAGTTTCTCCCAGTCTGGGAATTACTCAGTGCTCGTACAATGTACACAAGCTTTTCTTCTTGTATCAATAAAAATAAAAATGCCGATTTAGTTCATTTGAAGTCTTCCTTGATCCAAACATACTTAAAGTTTTAAATTTCAGAATGCAAAGCTGTAGCAGTCGCACACGGATGAAAAGCTGCCAAAAACAAAAGGAAAAAATAAAGCATATTACTTATAAATGGTGGTTAACATCCGAAACTAACAAACCACTGGCTACAGGCAAATAAAGTACTACTAGAGCAAACGATGTAGAAACTGCGACTAGCAAGGTAGTAATCCAGCGTCAAATACTTCAAAGAGCCTATTCAAGCATTAACGCAATACTATTTATTCGAAAAGATTGAAACTGAAATCATCATCGGATTCTTCCTCTGGTTCTTCCTTCTTCTCTTCCTTGGCAGGAGCAGTAGCAGCAGGAGTGTCAGCAGCTGCAACAGGGACTTGAAGAGCCGCAAACTTGCTTGGATCCTACAATTGGGTTATCAGGAACGTTTAATAAGAGGGTAAGAATATTAAGTGTAACACTAGTACCAATTTACAGAAAACAATCATCGAGCTTACCTTCAAATACTCTTTCACTTTCTCAGCCTGGCTAAATGTATACTCCGATCCCACAGAAATGGCAAGGAGATTCTTGTAGCCATTGATGAGCATATGAGGAGCAGCAGCAAGGGTTGGGAAGGAAACAGCCAGAGAAAGTGAAGCAACTGCAGAAACCCCAGCGGAAAACTTCTGGATAAGATCATCTTCTGTGAGATCAAGCACCTCAGGACTGAAGACTGACCCATTATCATATACAGTGTGCACAACAAGACCGTAAGAGAATGGCCTTATGCCAAGCTTCGACAGAAGAGCAGCCTCAGATGAGCCCACCTTGTCACCCTTCTTAATGAGCTCCACCGGAGTCATGATTTCCACAGTTCCCTTGTTAATCTTGGTAGGGATGTTAAGCACCTGAAGAAGTAAATAGCATGAGACTACAGCAAAATAAAAACACGGAACATGTCAAAGCATAAGTCCAAATATGAACCTGGAAGAATGAAGTTTGGGAAGGATCAAGCCCAGTGTTCCCAGGTGGAACAACCACATCAATTGGAGCAACAAGACCCACACGTGCTGGAGCCCCAACCTATTCATGTCAATAAGTTCATAACAAAAAACAATAAATGGAGAATCAGTCCATCCATTAACAAATAAATAAAAAGGAATTGGTTTTGCACGCTTAAGTCTCTGCAAATTCATCATTTACTTATTAACAAAAGGAAAAACCCGACATATACAGTTAATAGCATCTTTATTTGGGAAATATAATCACAAAGCTACAACCCAACCTTTTACCATCCAAAATGTATAAATGCCAAAAGTATTATTTTTTAATTGCAGCACATAAATTGAAGAATTGTATGTATTTACTAATAAAATCAAACAATTTCATGCATTTGTAAAAGAAAAGAGCATCAAATCTTCCACAGTACCTTATATTTGGCGATTTCTTCTCGGACTTCCTTCAAGTCACCCTTGGTGAAAATCAAACCCACATTTCCCTAATACACCAATATAAAGAAAAACACAGACTAAATCTTCAATCCAAGAAGATTCCAAACAAAATCAAAAACCCCATAATGAAAATTTTGTTAAAACAAAATGAGAATCATAAATTAACCATAAACCGAAAATAGAAACTCATACAACAAGCAAAGGAATGAGGTTCGTGATAGCAGAGTTGTTGGTTTTCTCAGCATGAATCTTGATGGACCTCTTCATCATAGTGTTCTTCCCCATAAGAATCACCGAGTCTCCCCTCAAACCCTTCCTGATGTTCTGGAGCTGAGTTGACCCAACATTATCCGCTACCACCACCAACACCTGAGAGTAGTCGTCCAACAGACGGCAGAGTTTCTGGTCGTACTGGCTTTTCTTCACAGCCTTGGTTGTTTTCATCACCATCTTGCCGACGATCGGAAAAAACTCAGAGCAAGAGACGGTGGAAGAGTGGAGCCGTTCAGAAACCCTAATATAGTGTTTCATTCTCTGAGCTGCATGGTTATATATATTTATAAAGGTGGTTTTGGGCTTTGAATTTTGGATCCATGGGCCCACAAGAATTCTAGGATCAACGATCTGGTTCCTCGAATTCTTTAATGGACACTTTTTGTGGTCCCAATATAATAATTTTATTCACTCATTCGTCCGTCCTCCATAAAGTCGGGAAAAATAAAATAATTTCTGTTGTTGATTGTCCTTTTCTTTTTCTTCACTTTGATTTTTTTTTTTGACAAGACAATAGTTAATAGATTAGTTTTATTAATTGTTAACAACTGAAAATTCGATCTCAGATTTGGTGGACATCTCACCTCCCTCAATGACGCGCAGCTCATCGGCCGCTTGATGGAGTTCTTTCTCCACTTTGATTGCTTGTTTGTTTTGTGTTTTTTTTTTTAAGGAAAATAAAAAGAATAATTTGTCCCCTTCTTTAGGTAGAGAATATAGAAAAGGTAAAATATTTAAATATATATATAATTCTTTTTATGATAAATCTATTTGATTGTGTTGGCCTTTTCTATATTAAACATTTGGCTTTGCATGCCGATAAATAAAAAAAAAAAGTTTGTTTTGCAAATGCTTCTAGGGGGTAAAAGATGTGATAAAAGTATTTATGTAGTCTTTAAAAAATATATATTGATAATTTATCAAAAAACGAAAATCAAGACTTTTAGTATTAAAAATGTTAAAATATTTAATCTAAATCATAAGGTAAATAAGTCTTAAAAACAGTTAAATTATATCTCACTCATTTCATATCTATAGTTAATTAGACTTTGTGATATTTTTTAATGTCAAAATGTTTTAATTTTTTGCACCTCATTTATCTATCTATGTTATAAAAACTCTTACAAGAAAATTCCTACTAAGCTAAAGGCCAATAACTGGCCCAAAAAAAGGAGTTTAAGGCCAATAAGACTGAAAAATTAAGGGTATTTAGATTTAATTTGACAACACCAATCTATAATTATAATTGTAGATTTTTTTATTCTTTAACACTCTAAAAATATTTAAAATATATCTTATATATTTAATATTTATTTTAATTAATATTTTATGTATTTTTAAAATAATAAAAAAAATATATCACTAAAATATAAAGTACCAAAAGTGTTAGACTAAACCTTATATGAAACAACAATTCCTACCAACTTATCTATTAAGTACATTATTATGAGTTTAAGAAGAATATATAAGGGATTAAGAAGTAACAATGTCGTCACTTATTTTGAAATTATTAATAAATGCTTAAAAATGAAAAATATATATATATAAAAAAAAAGGGAAAAGATATCCACAACCCACCCTAATTTCACAAACAAGCTGGCCATGCATAGCGTCTCAAATGAACAAAATCAGGCCCAACTTGTTTAATTGAGCCCAGGCCTCTTCGGGTCCATAGAAGAAACCATTTTACTTACAGTTACAGTACTATTTTTTAGTCTAACCGACGACGAATGTCAACGCAGCCGCCGCACATTTTACTACCGTGCTCCGTATATGTCGGCGCGTTTTTTTACTTAAAAACCTCTCCCCGCCCTTTCATTTCCGTTGTCACAAAAGGTAAATGCTATGATCATGGAAAACCTAGCCGTCACACTCCGTCAGCCGTCGTCGACTCCCGTTTTCTCTGCAACTCTTTCCGGTGGCTTTAACCGGAGGTTCTCCAGCTTGAGTTCAAGGTCTCTCTCTTTTCCCAAGTCAAGCTCACGTCAACAACCTTCACTCAAATGCTTTGCTTCAGCATCTCCCTCGTTAGGTACTCTCACTCTCCAATCAATATGAAAATTAATTGATGTGATCATTTGATTTTCTTGGCGAGGATAATTGGAAATGAAGCAAAGGAAATGGCCCCCCTTTTTTTTCCCTGAAGTAATTTCATGATTTGATATTCTATGAAATTAAAATTTCAGTTCATCAACGTTCTGTTCAAGTTTAGATATTTTAGTTCGATCGGTGTTTCTTTATTGAAATATTTTCTTATTGGTAATTTGGGCATCGATAAATTTGAGGCCCCAAGCATCCAAGAACATTTTAGTGCATCCTGCATTGCGTTATGAAAGATGATTGTGTGCTGTATATATTTTGAACATAAAATAACGAAAAAGATAATCCTTAAACTGTTAATTTTTTTCAAATTTCTGGTTTTCTGTAAAAAATATATGATGCTAGAAATGTGTTTTTCAATATATTTTTTTAAAATTTTAATTGTTGTAATATGTTGCATACAGTCAACCCGTTAGAAAAATTTCGAGAAGCTTCCAAGAAGGGAAATTTAGTTCCACTTTATCGATGCATATTCTCAGACCATCTAACTCCAGTGTTAGCATATCGTTGTTTGGTGAGGGAAGATGATAGGGATGCTCCAAGCTTTCTGTATGAGTCTGTTGAGCCTGGTTCAGCGGGCTCCAACACTGTAAGGTCCTTTAGCCATGATCTTTTTAATGGTTGTTCTATGTTAGTGTGAAAATGGGATGATATAAATACTGTGGGTTAATTATGGTAGGGAAGATACAGTTTAATTGGAGCTCAGCCAGCCATAGAGATTGTGGCAAAAGAGAACATGGTCACTATTATGGACCATGTGGAGGGGCATAGGAAAGAGGAGGTTGTGGAGGACCCCATGGTAGTTCCTCGCAGAATCACGGAAGGATGGAACCCTCAACTCATTGATGAACTTCCAGAGGCCTTTTGTGGTGAGTGAAGTGGACCGATATGTTAACTTGTATCTCAAGTTCCTTGTCAGAATCAGTCTGTTTTTCTGGAAGTTTTAGGCCTGGAAATTGGTGTTATGTTTATTATCAACTTCAAAATTACTCTTTTGTTCTTACCCTCTAACAGGGTGGAAGTGTCAATCTTAGTTCTTTATGGTCTTTTCATTTGAAAGCAATAAATTATGTGTAATAATACAATCTTTTGGTGATCAGGTGGCTGGGTTGGTTATTTCTCATATGATACAGTGCGTTATGTAGAGAAGAAGAAGCTGCCTTTCTCTAATGCTCCCATGGATGACAGAAACCTTCCTGATGTTCATTTAGGCCTGTACGATGACGTGATTGTATTTGATCACGTGGAAAAGGTACTCTTACTTTGACCTTTGGAGTATTTCCCTTTTCTTTCTTATATAACTATGTGTTTCAGCCATTAGTTCGTTTTTGTCTGCTCTTTGCTCTCTGACCTGGTAACTTAATTAACCTCAGAAAGTGTATGTGATTCATTGGGTGCGTTTAGATCGATATTCTTCTGTTGATGAGGCCTTTAATGATGGCATGAAACGGTTGGAAACTTTACTATCTAGAGTACATGATATAGATCCGTGAGTAATCTTTCTTATTGTTCTATACCTCATCTTGCATTCATTTCTTTTAATAATTTATTTGTAAGTTGTTTAATTGAACTGTGAATTTCAGCCCAAAGCTGCCGGCCGGTTCAGTAAAGTTACCCACTCATCTTTTTGGCCCTGAATTGGAAAACTCAAGCATGACTAGTGAGGAATACAAGGAGGCTGTTTTGCAGGCCAAAGAGCATATCTTAGCTGGTGATATTTTCCAGATTGTATTAAGTCAACGTTTTGAGCGGAGAACATTTGCCGATCCATTTGAAATTTACAGAGCCCTTAGGATTGTCAATCCCAGTCCATATATGACTTATTTACAGGTTTAGCTATTTTTTGCTACATTGCCTTTGAAACCTCCCTTTAATGTCAAACTTTTAAGGCTTTCAATATGTTCTTTCTGATCAGGCCAGAGGATGTATACTTGTTGCTTCAAGTCCAGAAATTCTTACACGTGTAAAAAAGGTAAATATTAAAAGTAATCCAAAGGATTATCAGAATAGATTTTTCTGATGCATTTTGTTGTGTGGTTGTAATTGCTTTTCTATTACCTACCCTGCCAGATGGTAGTTTTCCCCTTCCTCCTAAGTTATTGTGTTATCCCCCACTGATTCCCGTCTCCAATTTCATTTTGTTGGCAGAGGAAAATTATTAACCGGCCCCTTGCTGGGACTGTTAGAAGAGGGAAGACACCAAAAGAAGATTTGTTGTTGGAAAAGGAGCTTTTGGCTGATGAAAAACAATGTGCAGAGCACATTATGCTAGTTGACTTGGGAAGAAATGATGTTGGCAAGGTTACATGCTTCTCTTATCAAACTTTATTAATCCCATTTGTTCTATGCAAAACATCAATAATTGGGTATACGGTATACCATGCTGCACATTTCCTTGAAGTCTCTGGGCTACAGTAGCCAGCTCAAATGAGATGCAGATAAATCATTTTCATTTTTTCTTTTACGACCAAAATATATTTCCAAACTCTGATATTGCTTTATGATTTATATGTCACTCTGAGTCCATTCTAAAGCTGGTTGCTTGTACAGGTCTCCAAACCTGGATCTGTGAAGGTTGAAAAGCTGATGAATATTGAACGATATTCACATGTTATGCATATCAGTTCAACAGTATGTTATCCTTCTGTTGCAGTTTACATGCAGAATTCTGAAGATTCTAATGATATATATATAAATATATATATATATATATATTTTTTTTTGAGTGATGAAATCAATACTTCATTTTGCAGGTCACTGGAGAGTTACTTGACCATTTAACAAGCTGGGATGCCTTGCGTGCAGCATTGCCTGTTGGAACCGTCAGTGGGGCACCAAAGGTTCCCACCCCTCTCCCCACTTTGCCATTATTACTTTTCCTGTCATCCACTTCCGAAGCATTTACCCTTTCCAGTTAATAATCTCTCTAAGTTTCAGAATAAATAAATAGAACTCTCAAACACACTAACTTCTCCCAATCATGTAAAGATAATTTACTTCTTTTGTTCTCATTGTCATCATGCTCTATTGCAGGTGAAAGCCATGGAGTTGATTGACCAGCTGGAAGTCACAAGGAGGGGGCCATATAGTGGTGGATTTGGTGGCATTTCATTCTCCGGGTTCATGGACATTGCACTTGGTCTGAGAACCATTATTTTCCCAACAAGCACCCGTTATAATACTATGTACTCGTACAAGGATGTTAACAGGCGCAGAGAATGGGTTGCTCACCTCCAAGCAGGGGCAGGAATTGTTGCTGACAGCAATCCCGATGATGAGCAGCGAGAGTGCAAGAATAAGGTTGCTGCTCTGGCCCGTGCCATTGATCTTGCAGAGTCTTCATTTGTTGGAAATTGATGAAAAACTAGTGCCAGTCCCTTTTTCATCCGTACACTTACCGCCGAATGAAGCAACGAGTCAGGCACACGAGGTGTGATATGATGGTAGTTTCCTTGAAGGGGAAAGTATAATGCCTTTTTCATAAAATCAAAATCTACTGCTTCCTAGAATCATTTCCTCCATCTCAAAAAATACCCAAAGTTCTCCTTTGGAGTCTAAATTTGAGCTCCATTGTATGCAGATTGCAGAATGTACACTTCTATCTTGATCTTTATACACTGTTATGGATAATTTGTGTACCCTCGGAACTTCTTAAAGCTATAAAATATGCCATGTGCTAGTTTTATCATGATCCTGGTGATAGAGTTGTTTAGTTGCAATTGCAAACCGTCTTATTTACGGCCACCCTGCCTTTGTCCTCACAGGCATGTAGAAATTATTAATTCAACCATTATTCAGAAATGTTAATGTTTAATAAAGAGACGAGGATTAAGTTTTAATAAAGAGACGAGGATTAAGTTAAACTGTCATCTTACAACCTCACTCATTGACATGTTTTCAAAGCGTGGAGATTTAGAGAAGGCACCTGAGGTATTTTATTCAGCAGAGAAGGGAGATGTGTCTGTTTGGAGGGCAATGATTGCTGGTTTGGCAATGCATGTACGCGTTAGGGCTGCAATAGATTTATTCTTTAAAATGCAAGAAGCCAAGGTCAAGCCTAATTCTGCAACTTTTACCAATCTATTATGTGCTTGTAGTCAGACAGGTTTGGTGCAGGAGGGCCAGTTATTTTTCAATCAGATGGAGCCAATTTATGGGGTTCCACCTGAAAGCCAACACTATGCATGCCTGGTGAATTTACTTGGTCGTGCAGGCCTTTTGACAGAAGCTGTTGAAGTTATAGAGAAAATGCCTATAGTTCCTGGTGATTCTGTTCGGGGAGCTCCACTTGGAGCCTGTAAAATTCATGGGAATGTTGAAATTGCAGAACAGGCTTATAGCCGTTTGCTTGAGTTGGACCCTGAAAATCATGCCCCATATGTGCTCTTATCTAATGTTTATGCCAAAATGGGGAAATGGGACAGTATTTCTAAATTAAGGAAGCATATGTGAGTCTCTAAACTAGATAAAGAATGAGGTTGTAGCTCCATTGAGGTCAATGGAGTGGTCCATGAGTCTCTAGCTGGAGATAATTCCCACCCTTTTTCCAAGGAAATCTACACAAAGTTGAATGATGTTGTAGCACAATTAAGAACAAATGGCTATGAACCAAACAAGTCCCATCTTCTACAACTTATTGAAGACGAAGGCATGCAGGAGCAGGCCCTGAACCTTCACAGTGAGAAGTTAGCAATCGCCTTTGGGCTTATCAGTTTGAAACCATCTAAATCTAAACAAACAAGGATTATCAAGAATCTTCGTGTTTTCGGAGATTGCCACATGGTTGCTAAACCCATATCCAAGCTTTATAACAGAAAGATAATACTCCGGAATAGATATAAGTTCCACCATTTTAGCGCAGGAAATTGTTCATGTATGGATTTTTGTTGAATGTGAACCCTAAAACATACGAAATTTTCACATTTGATGCCTTAAAACATGAAACCTTTTTTTGTTAATGAAAGAAGTTTTTAGTTAATGAGTAGTAACTTAGTTGGTAAAGTGATTTATTCTCATGTTATTAGTTAAAATTTAATTTCTTAAGAAGATTAATTAAAAAATAATTACCAATGAATTTTTAAATTTTAGCTTAGATGTATTCCTTTAATCGGACTAAACATTTAAAAAAAATTAGACAAAAAATAAATAAATAAATAAAGGAAAGAAGGGAAAGAAGTTCTGTAATTTCAAGTAGGAGGCACCATGTAGCTATTTTTAATTAGCATTTCATTAATAGTTTCTTTCCATTTTCCCCCCTATGAATTCAGTATCAAAAGAAAGAGCAATGAATGATTCAAAATTTTCGTGAGTAAAGCAAGCCCAACGGCAGAAGGAAAAGCAAGAGACAAAGCCTGAATTTTTCACGTGTCAATGACCCACCAGATTATCAGATCTTTATTCTCGTTTTATGTATTTCTATGTCCTGTACTTTTTCTGGAAATGCCTAAACCATGGAATCCTTAACAAAGTCCCTCATGAAGATCCTCCCAGAAAATTGCAGTACCAGCAATCTGTCACCCCCAGGAAGTCTTCTGGGTCAATCTGAAATGCCCATTCCACGATCTCTGAAAGTTAAGGCATGCTTTTTTCATTCTCTCTCAGGGCAACGCATGGCGATCAAGGTTTCTGCTTCACCTCATTTCCCATCGGAAGGAAAGGTATACCTTCAGGCTTCAGGCTATAACATGGATTCATTCCTGCATTTTATTTGCAGTTTAAGCTTTAGCCTAAACATACATCGTCTTCTATTTTGGGTATATATATGTTTTGTGCACACTTTCCCAAATGGGATCTGATCAATCTCTTCTGAAATTGCTTATAAACCAATTTTTGAGAGGAGCTTGGCAATTAGATTCAGCCACCATTTACAAAATGCAAGCTTTAGTCTAAAAGTATGGTTTGATCTCACATAAATTGCAAATAGGTTTTGAGGGGCTTAAAGACTGCAGGGACTGCAATTAGAGGTATGTGCAAGTTATTTTATTCCTTGAGCTTCCTCTTAAGCATATAATTTAAGCTACTTGGCTGTGTTATTGAGCTTTGGTTCTTTTTTCTTTTTTTTTTTTCTTCTTCCTTAGATCCGTCAAAAACTGTTCATGTGAAATTTCAGTTGCAAAAGGACTGTTGCTTTGGCGAGCAATTTCTCTTGGTTGGTAATGAACCTATTCTTGGTTCTTGGAATCCCAGGAGTGCAATACCACTTAACTGGTCTGATGGAGACATATGGACTGTTGAATTGGTAGGAGGAACCATTTTGAGACTCAAACATGTTTTAATGTTTTAAGTTGTGACATTTGATGCAGATTTGTGAACTTTGTCTAGGAGATTCCTCCTCAACGTTCAATCCAATTCAAGTTCCTGCTCAAACAAAGCACAGGAGATATAATGTGGCAGCCTGGTCCAGACCGAATTTTTCGAACTTGGGAAAGCAAGAACACCTTAGTCATTACTGAAGATTGGGACAATGCTGAGGTTCAGAAAATCAATGAGGAAACAGTGGTTAATAAAAATGAGGATCTGGTTGTTAAACCTGACTCGAAAACAGCAGTGGCCAATGCAGAAGCAGAAGATGGTTCCACTGTTAGCAGCACTGATGAGTTCATCGCTGCTAGAAGGATCATATCAAATAAGGGACTTAATACAGAAGACTACAGTGATGAGGAGACATTATTCACTCATGAACAAGAATTTCCTGTTCTGGTACCTGGTTTAGCTCCCACGTCTACTGAAGAAGGAATCTCCAGGGAGTTTGGGAATCAGTCATTACTAAGAACCCAGATTGGAGATGCAGTTGACATTCAGGGCATTCACTGAGGCAACTTGTAATTGATAAATGCACTCTACAGTTAAATCGATCTGGTATCAATCTAGGCAGATTAAAACTCTTTATTGTGGTGTGTTGCTTCTCCCTGTTCTGGAAACTGTTACTAGCCCTAGTAGTTTCTGATTGAATTAAGGAGCTCAATTAGTGCTGAATGTTAAAATGCACATGGATCTTAATGTCTTATAACCTACTTGTAGGCCATGAGATTGGGGCAGAACAGATTTTCTCATACATCTGGATCCAAAATGTATATAAGATGACATCTAATAAAACTCATCAAAAATTGAATTGACCATTTTAACATTTTAAACAGCATCTAGATGATCAGAGGAACAGGTCACTAATCTCCTTGCAAGAGCAACAGCTTGAAGATAAAAATGCTCAGTGATCATTGTATTTATCTGACTTACGCCTGCGGTCATCTCTCTCTCCATGACGAAGGGACAAAGAATCCTTGTTGACTGGCCATTTGTTACCTCTCTTATCAAGGTCTTCTTTTTGATAAGATTCTGACTCACGCCTGCTTGATCTCTTTTCATCCCTCCTGTCATGATCTTCTCTTGACCTTGGCTTTAATTCATCATCACCATCCCTTTTTGATCTCTTTTCCTCCTTCCTATGCCTGTCTTCTCTGGACCTTTGCTCAAAACCATTATCATCATCTCTTCTATATCCTTTTTCTTCCCTTCTATAATGGTCTTCCCTTGATTTTGGCTGAATTTCATCATCTCTGTACCTTGATCTCTTCTCTTCTCTCCTATCAAAATCTTCTCTAGACTTTGGTTCGATGTCTTTGTCATTGTACTTTGTTGATCTCACATCCCTTTTCTCTAGTACCTTCTCATTTTCCTTTCTTCTTGAACTTGAATCCTTATAACTTGATCTAAAACCTTCCTCAACTGCCTGCTCCTGCATGCTTGATCTTCTCTCATTATTTTTTGAACCCTCAAATTTGTCATGCCCCCATCTTGAGCTTTTATCTTCATGACCCCACCCTGTATTTGCCGCTCTCTGGTATAGAAACAACAATGCATAAGCAACTAAAAATGCTAAAGCTTTAAACTAAGTTCATATATTCAAAACCCTGTTTGGAGGGAGGAAGACAACCAATAATAAAGAACAATGAATAAACTTGAAAAAGTAGAAGAGAAACTGCAGTTAAAACCACACAAAAAAAGAAAAAAAGAAAAAAAAAGCCATCATCTCCCTTTATATTTGGATAGCATTAAGTTCTGCTGTTCTAGGATCCAGATAAACAATTCAATTCAAATGAAAAATGAGAATAAATTTCCTTGATGGGCTCAAGGCTGTCAAAGGAGGCAATTTTTATCTAAGGTGACTCATTTATAGGTTAAATTGTTTTCCACTTGCCATAAACATTACACCATGACGGTTCACATAGCCATAAAAAAGAAATTATACATCCACCACTATAAGGAAATTATCTTACTTGCTCATCATGAGAAAATTTGCACCCATCTCCGCGAGTGCATTCACCCCTTTGGAAAGCACGGCAAACCCCTCGAGCCTCCCTCTTCTGCTTCTCCATCTCCTCATCTTCTTCCTCTTTCTTTTTGTACTTTTCAACATGATCAACCCTTATAGTTCGACCCAAAATCTGGGTTCCATTTAAATTATCTGTCAGAAAAACCGAAGACACAAAACAACTGTAACTTTCCTTCCCCAAGAAAGCTGATTTCCATAAAACTGCTAATTTCCAGAATCATGATTTCATCTGAAATAGAGAACTACTTACCTACAGCAAGAATTGTACTTCTTTGATCTTCATAAGCAATAAATGCAAAGCCCTTTGATTTTCCAGTAACCTTGTCTCTAACTAGATTAACATCTACAATCTCTCCATATCTAAGAATAATCCGATAACAGAAATTAGCAGTTTAGTACCCAAAAAGATACAATCTTTCACATTAAAATGAAAACCAAATTGAACAACAAAGTCAGGAAAAATAAATGCTAGACAGCTCGAATCTCACGGATTCGAAATACCCATAAAGCGCATATACAGAAAAACAGAAAGAAAGAAACTTTAAATTCTAGAAAGAAGAGTGGACATACTGGGCAAAAACAGCAAGGAGATCGCCTTCGGTGAGGTCGAAAGGAAGGCCGCCGACGAAAATGTAAGCAGAACCCTTGTACTTGGCATGCCACGAGGCTTCCTCAGATATCCCTAAATCGGCTTCTTTGGCGGTTATGTTCTGTAATCGCTTTACTAAAGTTAATGGATTCATCGATTTCCCTCTCGATTATGCTTCCTGTTCTTCCTCTTTTTGCAGTAAACCCTAATTTCGAATTCTAGTTCGCATTCCACAACTTTCCAAAGTCGAATCCGTTGTCGTTTAAAAAACACAAAAAAACAAAAAAACAAAATGAAAATGTTTTTCTTTGGTTAAATCTCTAATTTGGTCCCTCAACTATTATACAAATTTATTAATTTGGTTTTTGAACTAAAAAAAATCCCTGATTTGATCTTTAAACTGTTGTATGAACTCCAATTTGATTCTTACTATTTATCAATTTACCTTAAATTAGTCTTTTCGTACTAAAAAAAACTGACATGTCTAATATTTAACGGTAAAAACCAGTAACTTAATAATAAAAAATAGTAATTTAATGACCACGTGTCACGTTGATAACGAGACACGAAACTGTTTTTGTATAAATAACTAATTTGGGGCAAATTGATAAATAGTAGGGAATAAATCGAGATCCGTACAATAATTTAAAGACCAAATTAAAGATTTTTTTTAGTTTAGAGACCAAATCAAGGGTTTGTATAATAATTTAGGGACCAAATTAAAATTTTAACTTTTTTTTACGCACGAAAGTATATTGTGATTTTTATTTTATAATTTAAATTAGAGGTTCGGCCGTATTAGCTTTAATTTTTAAAAAATTAAATTTTAATTTATATTTTAAAATTTAAATTTAAATTTAAAATTTTAATATATTTTTAAATTTAAATATAATATTTAATAAAATAAAATTTTATATTTTAAATTAAATTTTAATTAAACAAAATAACATAATTTAAAATTAGATTAAAATTAAAACTCTACTTTTTTGAGTTAAAATTAATATATATTTTTTAAAATTAATTCAAATTAAAAAAAATTCTCAAAAAAATTAAATTAATTCAAATTATAAAACAAAATTTTTAAAAAATAAAAGATTTGCAGGGTTGTTTAGAGAGTAAAATATTAATTCTTTGGTTGGTTTTTAATTTTTTATCTTTTATTCAAAATAATCTAAATTGTAAATTGCAAAAATAAAGTACTTTTAAATAAATAAAAAAACAATAAAGCTGAGTCCCATTTTTGTCTAGGATAAAAAATCTAGTCTAACCTCCAAATCCACCCAAATAAGGTAAGGAGAAATATGTCGGTTAAGGATAAATTGTTTTTCAAATTGCTCTTTGAAATAAATAATTCATTATTGAACAATTGATTTTATTAAAATAATAATAAATAAGATTAAAATTTAAGATTAATAATATGTCATAAATTATATCATTTAAAATATTAAAAAATAAATCTCATTTTATTTACTAATTGACTATTTTTTTTAAATCTATTATGTATAATATTATATATATTAACTAATTCAATTACATAACTTCATTTGTCCCCAATTTTCATTTCAAAATTTTGTCCTCCTTATATTTACTCATTTCATTATATGTTAGCTTTTAGTTAAAGACATACCTAACTAATAGACATATTCTTGATACCAACGATGGGTTGGATCAAGTGGTAAGCGGCTTGTTCCAGCTTAAGTAAGGTCTCAAGTTCGAGACTTGTGAACGCAGCAGCCCTCGTTGGGAGACTCACCCACTATTTCCAAGTGCGCGACGCGGGTCGAGTCCGGATTAATCGGGGCGAAACCC